ACTTTTAAGACAAATTGATCACACAGAAAGGAACATTAGAGAATTTAAATCTACAACCAAAATTCAGCTGGTACTTTTACACACAGTTTTCAGGATTATGGGTCACCGGTTTGAACCTCAACCGAGTTAGTTGTTCAGTAAAAGTTATTACTGGATGTGGGCCCAAAATGGAATTCCTGCTCCAAACTCCTCAGTACTGTTTGGAACTCAAAGACCCTAGTCTGTATTACGTAAGAGCGTTTAAGAATAAGGAGATATTAACAGAGATTCAGGTAAGTATTTAAAAAGAAAAATTCTACACGAAGGATTTTACCTAAAAAACCTTCTCAAAATTAGTTGTTTCGGTGTAAGGGACCACACTTGTTCATACAACACCTAAGAGAGACTGCATTCTGTGGAAAGCAATCCCAAAGACCTTTCAGCTTTGAATAGTCTCAACAGAATAAACATTGAATCTGTCCACACAGGAAAATCAGTCTAAGCGGATCAGGATGAATCCGTTTATTGACATGGGCACTGTCAGATACAAAACCGAGAAAGCTGGCAGTTAGCAGACACGTCACAAGGATCTCTTGCTTGCCAACGCCAGCTGGGACAGACCTCTGAAGTCAAACGTAAGAATTTCACCCAGTATTATCAGCAAATGAAATCCTCAAGCAAGTATCTTGTTCAAAGCAGCCCTTCTGTTAAATTCATCTATTTCCAGTTCTTTGTATGGTCCTGGAATGCAACTGGCTGCTCATACTAACAGAGAAGAGAAAACACCTTATAACATCTCCCCTACCTGTAGGATACACACAACATGGGATAAAATTCTTTCTACTCTGCACAAGATTGTCTTTCTTAATGACAGCAGTTACATAATATGCTATCAGACCCACAGTCATTTAGAGAATAGGAAACAGATTCACATTAAGAAATAGTTTGTCCAAAATCATGCAATAAATCAGCAACAGATAAGTAGAAACAACATCCCCACCCCCCCACCTCTTGAATACACATCCAGACAATGCAGCATTTTCCCCCTTTATCAGCTAGCTACCTGATGACTTGCTTTAAAAACTAATACTTTTTGTTTTCAGTTTAAAAATCTAAGGTCCTAGCAGCTCTACATCTCCCAGTTTTAGCACAACAGGAATTCTTAAATATTCTGAGCAAGGTATGGCAATGCAGCTGGTATTATTTATGTATTTTTTGTTATCTGTGTTTCTTTAAACAGATTGTAGATGAAAATAACTTACATTTCAGGATGTTACTGACCTAGACTTGACGGCTTGTCACCTGACAAATTAAAAGATCCTTCCCATCTTTTCTAGGATAACAGACACAGGCCAAAATTTACCATGAAGCCTCCCACAAAAACCCGCAACAAGGGATTCTCATACTCATCCAGCAGTCTATAAGCATAAGGGGAAAATATTTTTACTTGGCTTTACCCCTCCCTAACTCTTCTCCAGACAAGAAATTCCTTAACATTACTGACTTATAGTTCTGCAACAAGTACAGACAGCAGCTTGCTGCATTTTAGCCTCAGAGCTCCCTGGAAACCCACGCTTTCCAGCTGTTTTGGTAGCAGGAGTCTGACCAGTACTACGAACAGCAGAGATACCGTTAGGGCAGAAAGATGTGAAGACTGACTGGCTGTTGCACTAAGGCTTAGGTGCTACAAGCTTGGAAAGCCTGCCTCTCCCCAGCTGGTTGTTGTACCCTTAGCCACCACTTCAGAGGTTTTTGCTTCCCCCTCCTCTCCCACCTTTAAATGTTAATACCTACACCTTGCTGCCAACACGGAAGAGAACACACAAGTTATTCTCCAGAGAGTTCAAGAGTTCAGTAGCACTCACATAAGTAACTAAAGCTCCACTCTACCTACCAAAAGGTTATGTTTCAAACTTGCACAAAGATCTTCAATTTGGGAAAATTACTGCCTACTTCCAGTACAAACTGTTAACTATCTGCTTTTAATTTAACATCTTCTTGTGTTTTATAATTGCACAAGGCAAACAAATCCTCTTCCCTCTTATGATAAAAATGGATACATCTGACACCCAACCTTCATGTTCACTCTAACAACGGAATTAAATTCAAGAGTATTCATTGACATGTTACGGAATTCCATAAAGAGAAGACATATGACTTTAGCTGCCGATGTTTTGAACAGATACATAACTTCTCCAGTTTTACCCTTTTATGAATTAAACCTGTACACTCTATGTTATCTAAAAACATTGCAATCAAAAAAGAGTGTTCTGTCAGTACTGCAAAAATATGAGGCTGCACATCCATGCACACCAATCACTTCGAAGATTCAAGCTAAAGCATGACTAAAACATTCCAACATGAAAGTTATCATTTTGCTAAATATTCAAATTCTGAAACAGTCAATTTAAATTTAAGCAGCTAAATGAAACTGTTGAGAAGTTAGTGGGGAAACAACATGTGGTAGGCAACATGATTCTGACAGCTGGATGCTATTTTCATGAAGAGGTGACATACAGCAGATGCTTCAGGTGGCAAGGAAGTCTGCGTGACCAAAAGGAACCACTAAGTCCAATACTGAGGGCTAACACAACAGCTTAAGTATCAAGGAGCAGGGTCAGTATTCCCTGTCACACAAAGTCTCCTGGCTTAAAGCCCACTGTCCCGAAGCAGACAGCCTTCTAGAGAACTCCAGTTAAAGTCAAGCCAGTATGTCAGTTCCTTCATTAAGTGCCTTTATTGCCATTTTATTCCTTGTCAATACTTCACAGGGATAGAACAGACTTAGCATTAATCCCCAGTACATTCTTCCAACAGTTTCTAGCCGATTCAGATACCTTGCATTGGAAATGTAACTGTCAAGTGGCCCTTTCATCTGCTAGACATCAGATAATCAATCTTTTGAGCGCAATGGTATTCTATGAATGCAATAGAAACTTTTACATGACAGTTAAAACTTCATAGTATAGGAATTAAGAGAAAGACAGCTAAAAGAAGGTATCAAATTATTCAAAATGATTAGCAACCATCTTCAGTTTCATGAGAACAAGTAAAATGGACTGTACACAATTTGGAGGGGGGAACAGAGTTGAAAGCAGCACAATCAGGAGCAAAGCGCGGCCAAGTTGGAAACCTGACAGGGGACTTAAAAGAAGAAAAAAAAAAAAAGGGACAGCCTGGAGAAGAGTTCAAAGAGCCTCAAAAATGCGTGTGAACCCATTACCTAATCCAGCTGATGTCTCATTAAAAGAAAATAGGCAAAGAAATTTGGGTCCACTCAGATAAGTATATTCAAACCCAGCACTATCGTAACAAAAGAATCAGACATATGTAAATGGTTGCTGGAACTCCTAAACCTCTGACCGAGCACTCTACGCCTTGACATAAAGGAGACATTATGCTGACAGACATATTTAGAAGAATCATATATGCTGGGTCAAACTAGAGATCTCTTAAGCCCTGTATGTTGACAGCAGCCAGTAGAGGATGCTTACATATCTTCACAGATAAATCTTAAGTATCTAAACATTTTGGCTCTGCAACCCTTGTGCAGGCAAAAATCCTTGGACAAGAGTAGCCCAAGTTGTCTTTGAAGCTGCCACAACTCCTAATGAAGCAAGTGACATCTGGGATTAGCGTGCACTTCAGCTAACCTCAAGACTCAGGCAACTTTTTTCTCTGAAAATTAACCTGCTCCCATCAGACTACAATTGGAACACTTCATATTTTTTGCATTACATTTACATGTTGCTTTACAGCTCACAGCACCCTTTTGAAAAAACAGGCAAACAGTTCACACTTATGTACTTAAACTTTATTTCTTCATAATTACAGGCTATTGTTAGAATTTTTAAACAAAAGGGAAGTCTATAAATAGAGGCTAATCCCACCCAAACAAGTTTATTTTTTTAAAAAAACCAAACAGTTAAAACTTCATAAAGTAATGCCATTTAGCTCACAGCAGTGGTTTGTTGGTAGTCTGAGTAAAAGTACTATAGTCAGAGTCAGTAACATGAAATGTAACATCAAATGACTCAAAACTTTAAATTCCATAAAGGAAAGCAGGAATATATATATAATATATACATATAATATTGTGTTGGTCCACTGAGTATACATTTTTAACAAAAGATAAGAAACTATGTAATCCAGTTAAGCATATGATTTGCAAGATTAGTGTACACTCATTACAAAGATGTATAGATAAGTTATACCTATTTAATACTTGCAAAATTTTAAGTTACTTCTTTTGAGCAGGTGTTCAAATGCTCATTTCCCAGTGCAAAAGAAAAAACATCTCAGTCAGGTTACCCATTTTTCCTGAAAAAAAAACCCCAAAAACAACCTACCCTCAAATTCATGTAATAGCAGCACTGACAGGTAATGGGAAGAGCTTACACATACTGAAGCATGGCTGAGTTCTCCCCCTTTCCCCCCTCCAGTGCTGCATGTTGAAACACTTCAATTTCCTCTACAGAAATACCACAGGTTAAAAGAGAAAGGAAAAAAAAAAAAAAATCTCTTGATGTCTGTGCTGCTGCCACGAATTTTTCTTAGAGAGGGCAAAAGATTATTCTTTTTGGAATTATTCTAATGAAACTGATTCTCCAGAATAGAGTTCTTTCAAAATGAACAATAAGTTATTTTCATTAACATTCTATGAATCCTATCCCAACTCAGTGACCATAAAGAAATCATTCAGTTTAAGGTGCAACTAACAGTTGGCATTCAATAAATTACACACACAGAAAACAACTGTGGTTAAAAAAAAAAAATAAAAATCAGACTACCTGTTCTTTCTTTCTATTCTCAATCCTATTACAAATTGAACTTCTTAACTTGCCAGTTCAGCTGCATATTTCACAGGCAAAAGTGGCTCAAATAGCAGTGGGGTCTCATAATTTGACAGTCATCCTGGCCAACAGCGAATGCACATGAATCTTCAATTCAGTTCCTTTATAAAAACAAAATAACATGTCTGCCTTAAAACCTATGACCACGCAAGAAAAGCATTAAAGGTTCAAACGCAGAATCTTCAATAAAGAGAAAAATCTATATGCATACATATAAAATACAGCACTCCACAACTCTGGCATTACTAAAATCTCTTTCGAAGGATAAAAGGTTCCAAGTGACTAACTGCTTGATGGGACACAGTCAGCCATGGCAGAATAATTGCCGTGTTCACTTTATGCTCAATTACCAGCTGCTGACAGATGACAGTCAAACTACAACCTCACTATCTGCATTTTAAACTGATTTGCTTACAGCTGGGAAAAGTACTTGTTCTCCTGAAAACTTGAGAGAAACTGAATGCTAAACTTAAGTTATTCAAACAATAACCAAAAGGATTGAATTTAGCAGAAACATTCACACCACTTTCAGAAATTTAAAACCTTTCAGAGTTTCTTGAATATATGTATTTTCTGATTAACATTTAAATAGGTTAGGTATTCAGGGAAAGGGACAAAACAATTGACATAAGACAATATCTTATTCTAAACTTCATGCTTCTGATATTTCAGATTTACTGAGTGCAATAGCCAGTTCCAAGTCTTCTTGCTCTTGCTGTTTTAGTCTTGCCAATCTTTCCTTCTCTTCTTTCTCACTTTCCCTCTTAGCCCATTCAATCATGTCTTCCTCAGTAGAATACTGCATTTTTAAAAGACAAAACAAACCACATTAATAATACGATGATAACTAATACTGTCCTTGGTTTAAGGGACAATTACAGTTTTTCAAAAATTCTTTATATTCTAGTCTTTAAATATTACTTGCTTTTTAATTTTAATGCACTATTAAAATGAGCTCAGTCTAAGGTTTAACTATTAAGAACTGCATTGAAGCCATCCAACAGACATATTATTATGAAATACACCGTGTTTCAGAATTCAATATTACGTTTAAAAAAGTTACTCAGCAGAAAGTGCGGTAATTCAAATTCCATTTTATATTGGGTAGAGATCAGTCTATACAATAAAAAATTTGAATAAATCAGGAGAACATTCTGCGAGATACACCCCTGTCCACACTGTGGGACATCCCGATCTACCATACTTTCATTAGGGATGATTTTTCCAGGTGACAATGACTGCAAAAATTAGCTGTAGAATGACTGTTTTTAATTGTGCGTATGAAAAATACTTCTGCCAAGAAGCAACAAAATAATACGATAACCATAGAGTTAGAAGCCTAGGAGTAATATAAAGAAAGGTGAATGTGATACAAAGGAAAAAAAAGAACAGATTCTTTCCATGTATATTGATGTGAACAGAATGTGAACTAAATTTCTGTGGTACAATGACTATAAATCACAGACAGTTAAGGGTATGATCTTAAATAAAATACAAAAGATGATGCTAAAGTTTGTTTCTAGTCAGCATGCAGAAAAGCTAAGAAGCAGGTGAAGCCCACATCTTCATGAATGCCCCAATGTTAAGACCAAAAGGGTTATCACAATATACTCCAGCTGGTTTCTGCTTTGAGCTGCTTCGTTGGGCAATAAAAGTAGACAGTTTTCTCCACAGTTCACCTAGTGTTTTCAGTAATTGCAACTGGAAAAAAATACTTTTTCCTTCAAAAAGATAATGAACATTTTCGTTTTCTCCTCCACATTTCACATTCTCCCCTCCAAGCTGGCTTCTCAGTCTCTATAAGAACAGTGATCAATAACAGCATTTCAGAAATTATCATGCTACAAGACACATCACCCAGTGCAAGTCAATTCTGAGAGCCTGTCAATCCTCAGTTTACTTCAAGCACATAGTTTATTAGGCCTGAAAATAAAAAAAGCAGTATGATCAAGATACTGCAAATGCCAATTGCATTTAACAGGTATCAAGCTTGAAAGTGAGATGACGCCTTTCAAAACTCCCATATGCAAAAGCTCAAAAGAATAAAAATATATATAGGCATGCACAAACCTTTAGATTTGCTTCTACTGCTTGGTCACCACAACTTCAATGAAATGGATTTTGGTTACAAAGAGACACTACTTTTTACTTCATTGTACATAAGTCTGGAATTTACTAGCCATTCAAAACTCACAAAATTATATTTCATTAACATACACCATTACGAGGCTGTTTATCAATATTTCAGTACATTGAAATTATGACCAAACGGTTCAGTGACAGCTAAATTAAAATCACACCTTTTGTTTTATTTTCAGTTGGATTGTTAACACTGTGCTTGTTATAGATGGATAATTTAAGTCTGCTGCATGCCCTGACAAAATGGATAATCCCAAGAACATAGATATTTAAAAGTCCTATCTTCTAAAAGCTAGGAGGCCTTCATGAAAAAAAAAAACCTCACAAAAGCAATGCAATTTAAACCTTAACTACAACATTTTGCAGTTATTTGTTTTAGGACAGCCTCAGCTGTAAACTAGATGTAAATACTGTTTTAACTGGAAGCGATATCCCTTTTGTACATGGGATATGTCTTAATATTTTAAATTAGACTGAAGATTTCAGTGTGAACAATTCAAAGCTGTCATTATACTGAAACAAATGTAAAAAGTGTTTACTCACAGTACTGAAGTTTGCAAAATTGTTGGGGTCAGCCTCTTTACTCATGCTGGTGGGAGCAAATGGATCACAGAATAGATCTGCTTCTTGTTCTTTGGGAATGTCTGGGGTGGGGAAAGGCTGAAATGGATCTCTCGGTTTAAAGGAATCTGAAGAGTCTATTTGATTGATAGGTCTTTTCCCTTAGATTAAAATGAATTTAAAATGAATTTAAGATAGCAGGTAATAACATGCCAAAAATAGTTTAAAAAACCCCCACAAAATCAAAAGCTACTTGGAATGCAACCTCTTCTAGTAAACTAGTGGAGTTACAGTGATTTCAGAGGAAGGGTTGCCAGTTTAAAAAATGAGGGTATGATCCACTGTTTCTTAAAAGGTAATCAGGTAAAAAGGAACACCTGTATGTTAAGGATTCAAGAACACAGTTATGTACTAATTAACTATTTTAGGAAAAGAATTTCTAACAGTTTCAAGCCCCTATTCTATCAGCACAGTATTTTCTCTTTTGTTTATCAGCTGTCCATGATCATTCCGGCAATGTTCTTATTATTTATTTGGATCTAGTTAACACAATTTCATTCAGAGACCAGAAATATATTTCTAAGTCTTCAAAACACCATGTCCCCTCACTATGCTAACACCTGGAATTTCTGTAGTTTTTAAACTAACAGAATGAAGGAGCATGATAACAAGCAAACACAGCCTTAACTGCTGCATAAATAGCTGCAGATGTAACAGGAACAGGCACAAGCCCCCCCCACTTATCTGTTTGTTTTTCAGCTTAACACCAGTCAGCTTTAAAAACCTTTGAGGACATTAACCCAAACACTTCCAAGAACAGCTGAGCAGAATTTCATCCCACCATTCTCCCCATATGTTACTGCTTACAGAGAAGGTTTCATTGCAGTTCTTGAGTTCAACTAGCAGGTTCTACATGTGGTTTAACAGAGTGGTCGTATTTTAAAACTTGCTTCTGTTGCTATTTTAAACTGCAGAATTAACCACAGCGCTTATTATTTCATGTATCACTGTTGCAACTTAGTCTAAAAATTCTTTCATAGACCAAAAGAGATTCTAATTTGGCAATGATTTAGAGAACACCCCCTCAGGAATATATGATTTATTTAGACACTTCCCAGATAACCTTGCCATGATAGCTCTCATTCACTGCTGATGATCTGTTACTGGCAGACAATGCACATCTACTTCTTGAATAACGTGGGAGAAGCAGCTTCCAATGACATCTAGGGAATTTATTTCTACATGGGTAGGATTAATAAATACAAGATTATGAAGTATACAATCTCTGAATCTGCCCCAAAAAATCACGAAATGAGAGTGCTTATCAGTATCTAGAAAGGCAACAGATCTCAGAGGGAAGCAAACAGTCCTTCTGCACACTTTCCAGTAGCATGATGAATTAAGAGAAAGACTTTGGGGCATTTCTTTGAAAAAGAATTCCCTTGTTTTGAATCACGCCAAGGGAGTAATTTAAAACAAATACAGTTAAATGCCTCAAATTTTTATTTCCATTAGGAAAATAGTTTATTTGGAATGGTTATTAAGATAACCACAGTATCATTTTTAATATATAAAATCAAAACAGGCTACTTTTTTCTAGTCATCTTTTGATAAGGATACTGTTGTTCCACCACTAGAAGCTCCCATTCCAAAAGTAGATCCATACACCATGTCATAGCCACTCCCACACAATAAAGTCAGAAATTCGGTTTTTGTTTTAAGTAAGGACCACCATAACAGGAAACACTATAAAACATTCAAATTATCATCACTTCTCATGTCCGCTGTTTTAACGTTATTTACAATGAAACCAATTCCTTGCAAGGCATAATTACAGGTTGCCCAGAGACGTGGTAGATTCCCCATCCCTGGAAACCTTCAAGCCCAGGCTGGACCGGGCTCTGAGCAACCTGATCTAGTGGTAGACGTCCTTGCTCATTACGGGGTCAGGGGGGACACACACAACTAGATGGCCTTTAAAGATCTCTTCCAAACCAAACTATTCTATGATTCTATAAGCATGAACCAGATCTCCCATTAACATTAGAAATTAAACAGCTGAATTTAAACTTCAGTATAAATACTCCTACATTTACTGTGTTCCCCTTCTTTTGAGGAAAAAGAGGAATACATGTTTTAAGTTTCATGCTGCATTTTTCCCAAACACCTTAAGATTCATCCGTATAGCGTAACAGTGAAAACATGATGCAGTAGAGTTTTTAAAGAAAATGAAACAAAGGACAGAAACTTAAAAAGGAATACTGGTAATATATTTGGCCAATCTATGAGAAAAAAAAAAAATCGCGAGTGAGGAGTCTGTTATAAGATGGACTTGTTGCAACCACAAGAAGGCGTTGTTATCTTTGATAATCACGGCCTCTTCTGGAAAGCAGAGCTGTTTGTGTCATGGAGTAGACCAGATCACTCGGCTATCACTTGACAGAAAACAGCATAGGAAACTTGGGCTTATTACTATTACATTGGTTAGGTTTACTACTACAGACCTTTACCAAGACCACCTGGAAAAAGTAACCTAAGACAATCATTTAACCCTATTTAGTTAACTTTGCATTAAAACCAGAGGTTTTGCAATGGATAAAGCACACTGAATTCTCACTTTGAGCATAATTTAATGCAAGATTCACAGTGTATCACATTAGTAACCATTTATTTTGCAGCCATGCTATGTTCTTGCAGATACTTGTAGTAATTCCATTTCCTCCTGTTTTCTAAATCCTTTCTCTTTTTGAAGGACAAACTATGATCCCAAATGCCACGCAAAATTTAACCCTGAGGAAACCACCACCAGATCAGGAACAGACTTGTTTCACATCTTGCTCATTCATTCTAAATTCAGACACTTCACCATCCCCTCATCATTGCTGTCCCACTGCCAATATTGAAGCAGCTCACTGTTGACAACATCTCAGTATCAGCTCTTACCAGGTGGCGGTGGACAGGGCCTTGTGGGAGTTCCTGTTTTAGGGGGCAATGCAGGAGGAACATCCTCGTTTTTAGCTGGTGGCTCCTCAAATAAGTTTTTAGTTATGGTCACACTGTTGACAGAACCTGATGCGGAAGAGCTGAAGGGATCCTCATTGTTGGCCTTCAACAAACAAAACAGCAACACACAGATTTTCAGTGCAATTCTACTAATACTTTTCCCTTCTTTTCAATAATGCAAATATTTAGAACTGAAAGTTTGGGCCAAGACAAAAAGAAAATACTTTGGTTTGGTTTAAAACATATCATCCACATACTGCAGGAGACTGAAAATAAAGAAAGATCAGGAATAGTTAGTGTGTGCAGCAATATAAAGTTGCGTGCAGTTATACATACCAAAGTAATACTTTTGCTGTTGAACTCAGCACATTTTAAAAAAATGTAGTATCACTCCAAACAGAGAAAATACTTATAAACCCACAAACAATACATTGCACTCTTCACAGTGGAATTGTAGAACAATTTACTATACAGTCCTTTTTTTCAGAAGGTCAGCCATTACAAACTCTTGGTAGTGGCAAAACTGTAACGAAACTGTTGGTAAGAGAGTAGGCTATGTCTTGTCACTGCAGTTTCATGCATTTTCTATGAGTGGCAGTAGCTTCATATTACCTTTGACAGCGTGCTAAAGTCAGCAAAACCACTTCCAAAGGATTCATTTCCAAACAGAGAGGCAAAGGGGTCTGTAGCTGAATACATATAAATCAAACAGAATGAGATTAAAAGTTAAATATGAAAGAGTGAAAAAATCCCACAACAAAAAAGCAACTGTTACATATTTGGCAGCACAGACTAATTCAAGTGAAATATTTTGTGAGGTGGGCACTTCAAGTTATTAAGTAGTTTTTACAAAAACTCTAAGTGTCAATTACTAATTACGAATAATAGTTCTCGGGAACAGGGAGAAAATCAAAAGAAATACTGGTACTCTGTTTTCCCACATTAAAAAAGTTAAATTCCACTGAAAGTATCAAATAATCATACTACTGGATGTTCTGCTGAGATACATGTATGTATACACAAAGGTACTTTTTGTCTGCATACACCCATAAATATACATGCACAGATACATGTATCTATAAAGACACAAAGAGCTCACTTCTGACTGTAGGCCCACTTGTGGAACAAAGTAGCTAAACCTCCTACTATCTCAATCTAATTCAACAGTACCCCTTCATTCTTACGTGCCTCAAAATATGTAAAAACTGCTATTCTACTGTAAAGCAAGAAGTGCACTGTCTTAACCAATACTCACTTCTGCATCTCCAGAAAATGGCTTTTTTTTCCTGTAATTAAACTGAACAGGTTTACAATATGAAATCACATGTGGATTCATGTTTTGGATTAACACTTGTCAGTGCAACTGGGGAAAACAGCAGATTAGAGTCTTCCCTGAAACATCTTTAGCCCTCAGATCAGAGAGGGTCATAGCAAAACAAAAGGAGCAAACTTTAACAGTAAAAATTCTTGATGAAGTAGTTACTCTATCCCACATCATCCCATCTTGTAGTACAAAGCTAACTTGTGTATTACTTTGAGTAACATGACATCCTGAAAAACAACCCTAACAGGAAGCAGTACAAACCATTCAAATGTTCCAAACACTTAGATCAGGGTATTTCACCAGTTTTAGGTAAGGCAGAGGAACATTTTTGCAGAATCAGTCTTCAGAAATAAGCACTGCAGATAACGAGACAGTGTTGTTTTACAAAAATAGCCCCCTGCAAACGTGCACCTTATGTCATACTTCATAGCAAAATTCAGAAAACGTAGGAAATCCCTAAAATGCTCCATCGCAAATTCTGTTAAAAGACTAGAAAACAATAAGCAAAAGCAAATGAAAATAAAACCACAGGAAGTTTGATGTGTACAATGTACTTTTACCTAGATCATTTGATGCAGTAACAGTTGTTCCACCAGGAGCAAAAGGGTCATTCTTCTTTGATATCTCTGTCTAAAATAAAAAACGCCTTTGGAGGAAAATTTGTTTTTCAGCTTAAAAGATTCCTCATTCTAAGAATACAATCACAATTTATTTTGGTTTAGAAGTTTTAAGATAAAATATTATGGAAGTAGCTTTTATCAGCATCAGTAAACAAGTCTGTTGACAGAAACTCCTCCTCAAAACAGAGATTAATTGTTTCAAAAGATGGAAAAAAGGTACACACCATGTACAACATACTTGGTAACCACTAATGCAAAATTTAAGAATATCTACCAGTCATTTTGGTCTCAGATTTCTACAACCAGAGCCATCTTTGTGAAGATATAACTACAAGTTATCAACACCACAAAGGTGCAGTAAAGCATTTAGAATGAGTGCGTAACTTCATTTCAGTTGAGAAATCAAGAGGAGTGTGGCCAGCAGGTCGAGAGAGGTTCTCCTCCCCCTCTACTCTGCTCTAGCGAGGCCCCATCTGGAGTACTGTGTCCAGTTCTGGGCTCCGCAGTTCAAGAAAGATGAGGAGCTACTGGAGAGAGTCCAGCGGAGGGCTACGAGGATGGTGAGGGGACTGGAGCATCTCTGCTAGGAGGAGAGGCTGAGGGAGCTGGGCTTGTTCAGCCTGAAGAAGAGAAGGCTGCGAGAGGACCTTGTAAATGCCTACAAATAGCTGAAGGGTGGGTGTCAGGAGGATGGGGCCAAACTCTTTTCAGTA